GAAGGGAGCAGAATCTTCAAGTTCTAGTGTAGTCCTATTTTTTAAGTTGGCTAATCAGTATGTGGTTGTTCACCCAACTATGATAATTGCTTTCTCTTTGAGCTTCATTGGCTCAATGTTTGCATATAGACGTAGAGTTTGGTCATAGTTCTTCACTCTTCTTTAAAATCAATGATGAGTTGTTTTGTGTGATACTTAATGCCAATAAAGTAAAAAATGGCAAAGGCAGATTGTAATGTGTATTTTCACTATTGCATTAGAGGAATTGAAGATATAAACCATTGCATGTCCCATTGAGACTTGTGCTTAAGGGATATCCATTAGGTAAAGACTAATGAATACATTGCATTATACATTTATATAGTCCTATTCTCCTCAACTTTTAATTCCAGTCATCCACACTCCAGTATCTAGATTTTAGTTAACATTATCACTGTATCCATACTTAAGTCTTTAGATTCCACACTCCAGTCTCCATACTTGAATAAACAAAAGAAGGCGAATAGAACATGCCCGTAATGTAGTTAACCCTGTTAATTGCTCTCTAAGAATTCTGACCTTGTAATGGCTCGTCGTTGAAGAAACCATCAAATTTCACAGCAAACACTTTCAAGTTTCAACTCAGCTAGCTGTAGAACCACTAAAAACATATTGCCAGAGTAGTTATTTTTTGTCAGTACATTTGGTTTTACCATAGAAAATGAAAAGGAAGATTGAATGTTTTTTGTTCTTTTGGGTCTGGTTCCTCATTGTCTTGAGGAAACATACTGCAACTGCGTCTATGGTTCGTTTAGGTGGTTTTCTGCGGTTTAAATGCTAACACATAGGGTTGACTTTCATGCAGATATGTAACATATTCTGTGGGGGATAAATGGCGGACCGAGTGCGGATGCTGGTTTTTTTGAAAAGAACAAGCAATGAATGTGTTGTTGATTGGAGGGATGAGTATACTGTTTTAACTTTTCCAAGTGTTTGTATTTGTGGGGTGAAATTTTTTATGACTCTTAACTGCTGTGTTAGCTTTTTTGGGTGCCATTGTTCCCCCCAAAACCCAAGAGACTACTGCCATAAGAACACGTTTGTAGTATTTTTTTAAAATTATTCTTACACCTTTATTTATTTGAATTTTGTGGTACAATTTATGATTTTATCTGACTGTGTAAATACATTTTGATGATTTGTATATTGCGATAAGCAGTGTAGCTTCATTATGTTATATTCTGTTTGGTCACTTGTGCTTTCCCAAGAAGCTACTACACTCTCAAGCACCCTCGTAGTATTGACATTGCACGTGTTGCCACTATATATAATACTTCTTTCGTCTTTAAAAAATTACCACATTTCGTCTTTTTTGGTCAAATTGTAGTATCCCTTGATCACGAATTAACTATTGTTTAAACGAATTAACTATTGTTTAAAAACTATAATTTAAAATAAATCTAATATTACTAAATTTACATTATAATAAGATATACTTTTTTCATAATTTGCGGTCAAAAAATGCATCATATTGACCAAAAAAATTAAATTGTGATAATCTTTTAGGGACAGAGGAGTATATTTTCTCCGTTTTTTAATCAATTTTGATTTCTAGAAGTGTAAGAAAAATGTTAAAATATAGTGAAAAATGTAAGGTTGAAATTTATATGTTTGGGAATATGGATTTGGATTTCAAATCCGGATTTGGCTCAAATTCCATGTTTGGAAAATTTAAAAATTTGAATTTGGATTTGAGTTAAATTCTTCTCATTCATAACAAAGCTTAATTTGAAATTCATGCACCTCCCCTTGTCATTTGAAATTCAAGATTTCAAATTTTGGAATTGAAATGCATGAATTGAAATGAAATGCTAGTTGTCAAACGCTACCTGAAAGAATTGAAAGAGAATTTAAAGTTGTTCACATTTTTATTTCTTACAGAGTAAGATAGAAAGCGAAGAAGGGTAAAATTGGTTTTTAGATAGGATAAAATTATTTGTACCCCAAGGATTTGTACTTCATTTTGTACATCGCAGAGATGCACCAACATTTTGTGTTGGTGTAATACTAATTTTTGTTAACGCACCAAGTCACCAAGAGTTAGAAAAAGTAAGTAGTACTCTACTCGTTGCCTATCAGAAATCTGTAAATTCGTCGTCTAAGCCCAAGGAAGAAAAACAAGAAACAATAGAGGAGAATGAAAAAAGGAAAGGGAAAGCTAAAGAACATGGCCTTTTCATATTCTCATGTTGCTGCTAGTATTAAAACATGCGAACCCATGGAACCAAATATCGACTTATTAAATAACATAGACATGTCACTTCTTATTCCATTGATTTTTTTATGTAAATTTAATTTTGTTTTAATTTTATGTTATATTGAAATGAATTTCAATCAAATATGATAAACAATAATAATTGATCAATCTAATTTGGAACCGAGGCGAGGGAGTACTTAACTATACTTGTAAAATATGTCAAAATTTGATCAAGAAAACTCAAATATGCAAAGTAATTGCCGCAAATTAAAGGGTGTGGTACATATGTAAGTTGTTGAGGATAAAAATATGTTTTTATAGAGGTGATGGCAAAGCGAGTGTCAAAAAAAGAAATGAGAAAAGGATTTTGAGATATCTCCAGCGAGAAATAAAAAAAATTGGAATATCCGATTTAGGACTTGTTATTTTAGGTTGAAAAAATTAGCTTTTGACTTTTCCCAGTTTCTTTCAACTTCTTCCAGTTCCTTCTGAGTATTTTCTGTTTCTTCCAACAATGATTTTAAAATGTATTTATATACGATGGATATACAATAACGTTATATATCTAAATTCATAGCATATCATCTCAAACACGAATATGATGAGTTCTTTTTTATATATAAAATAAGTTTTCTTACATATTTATTTGAGAGATCATTTAATTAAATGACTTTTAAGACTTAAATTATACTCGTCCGACATTTTCAACCTTCTTCTAATTTTTCTCAACTTCTTTCAATTCTTCCAATATCTAACTCTGAAATTTCAACCCAGCAAGTCCTTAATGCATGCGCATGTAACTTAGCCCATTTACCCTCAGAGTACTTTTATTTTATTTTATTTTATTTAGATAGAGTACGTACTTTAAAGTTTTTAACCACACAAATATTATTTATGTGAGCCTTTTAAAAAAGAAAAAAAAGGAGGTTGTGGTGTGACAGAGACTTTAAGTAGGTGTATAAATAATGTTGTTTCTTTATTTATTGGTTATTTAATTTCCTTGCGGTGGTTCCGCAAGAATGCATGGCGGCCTTTTGACTAAGATCCCTACTTTCAAGTTCCAACCACACCAAGTTGTAACTGCTTTGTCTTCTCTACACACTCCATCAATTGTTGAAATATTTCCACTAAATAATACAGAGTATATATATTAAAATTAAGTCATTTTCCCAAATAACACTTAAACTGTTTTATTTTCTAAATAGCAATTAATAATGAGCATAATGTTCAGTGATGCCGAACATTTACCTGAATAGTGACTAATGAATACTGACTAAAAGTGTTACAATGGAAAAAACACATGTGATGCTATTTAGAAAAAGTCATTATGTTTTAATGTTATTTAAGTAAATTCTTATCCAATTGTTTGGTTGAGATCGATTGTATTTTACTAATAATCTTGTTAGACAATAATACTAATAGTACTTCTTGTAGTATTGGTTATGGTAGTGTTTCATTATTAGTCAGCTTCCTGATCCTATTTGTATTAGATGTTGTATTTTAGTTAGACTTCATTCTCTATTCCTAGTTGTGTTAGGAATCTCTCCTATATATACTCTATCATGTATTCCATAATTGAAGGAGCAATATTATTATTCCAATATTTCAACAAATCTATCTATTACTCTCTCCGTCCCAGAAAACATGGGAGTTTTGATTTTGAAGATGGATTTAAGTGGAGTGTATTTTGGTATTGAATTTCCAAAAATGTACTTTGATTTGATGAGTAAAAGTATAATTTGACGGATAGATTATTAGTAAAAAGGTATGATGTGATAGGTAGGATATGAAAAAGTAAGGGGTAAAATTAGAAAATCAACTACAAATATACATTCATTATTTCTCCCCTTAGTCAAAGTAGGATGAACCATTGAGTATGAGCCATTTATTTCCTCCATTTTAAGGAAAAATGAATGAAAACTTTAGTTTTAAATAACTTAAAAAGAAAAGTATAAAGATTAATTAATTTGGGAGTACTGGCCGGCTTTGTGTTCCATAATTTAAGGAGAGTGTTTAGACAAGAGGCCAGAAACAACGGACGATGGATGATTTCGTGTTCCCAAGGCATGCATGCATGCATGACGGCATGAGGTTGGACGTGGAAGCTTTGCATGAAAGGAATGCTCACTAAGACAATGCTCATTTCCTGGTTCCTTTCACAAGTGTCTTCCATCAACTTTGTCCACCAAGCATCTCTCACCTTAGAATAATGAAATTATAGCATCCAGTGGGCCTGGGGCGGAGGCAGGGTGAAATTTATGATGTGCGGTGGCGGATTAGGAGGGGATTAATTAAGGAGATATGAACCGCCAATTTTACAAACGAAGTATCGCACGTGCCCCAACATTACCGATGCCGTGAAGTTGTGTTATTTTTGTTGGTGTGACATTACAACTTCCCTTTAACTTTTCTTTGTGAAAATCACAATTTTTTTGTTTAGTCATCTTTACAAAAAGTTCTAGCTTGAAAATGGCTCATATCTTGTTCTTCTAATGAGTTGAGATAACATTCTTACTGAGAATTGAGAACGGCATTTGATGAAGTACACATTTTAGGGCATAGATCGAATGGTGTCTGAAGTAATAAGAAAAACAAGAGTAAGATGTTGAGTATGAAATCAAAATATTATTTCAACAAAATAAAAGTTTTGATTACGTCTAAAGACTATTTTAAAACTAATTTTTCTAGAAGGATGACTATAACAAAAAAAATTTACAGGGATAAAAAACAAGACTCGACAATTTTCAGAGAATGAAAATATATTTAAGCAAAAAAAGAATTATTGATATTTTTAAGATGGTATAAGTTCAATTTGTGGGAAATGTTTGAAAAATAAATTTGAAATTTGTGATCGAGGACTTATACCTAAACTCTTCCCTCTATATATACTCCCATTCACTCTCTTCTTACTCACTCAAATTGCATGCATGCAATGATGAAGAAGAAGAGCACACTCCCATTCTTTCACAACTTCTTCCTAATAATTCTTCTCTCTCTCCCCTTCTCACTTGTTATATCGCCGGCCAATTCACAAGGCGGCTATGGATATCCTCCGCCACCTCCCCGCCAGCAACCTTTGACCCCGCCTCCTTCCTCTCACGGACATCAACCTCCCTCAGGCGGCAGCGGGTCTCCGCCTTCCTCCGGCACCTACCCGCCGCCTTCTCATCATGGTACTCCTCCACGTGGAAACCAGCCGCCTTCTGGGGGCGGTGGCGGTTATTCTCCTCCTTCTCAAGGGAACCCACCACCCCCCTCTGGCGGCAGTGGGTATCCACCCCCCTCCGGTGCAAACCCGCCACCTTCTTATCATGGTACTCCTCCACGTGGACATCAACCGCCTTCTGGTGGCGGAGGAGGTGGTGGTTACTCTCCTCCTCAAGGGAGAACACCTCCTCCATCTCGTGGACACCAACCGCCTTCTGGTGGTGGCGGTGGTTATTCTCCTCCTTCTCAAGGGAACAGACCTCCTCCATCTCATGGACATCAACCGCCTTCTGGTGGCGGAGGAGGAGGTGGTTACTCTCCGCCTTCCGGTGGTGGTGGTTATTCTCCTCCTTCTCAAGGGAATAGACCTCCTCCATCTCATGGACATCAACCGCCTTCCAGTGGTGGTGGCAGCGGTGGCTATTCTCCTCCCTCTCATGGGAACACACCTCCTCCATCTCGTGGACATCAACCACCTTCTGGCGGCGGCGGCGGCGGCGGCGGAGGTGGTTACTCTCCTCCTTCTCGTGGGAACACACCTCCTCCATCTCATGGACATCAACCGCCTTCTGGTGGCGATGCTGGTGGTTATTCTCCTCCCTCTCATGGACATCATAATCAACCGCCACCCCACGGCAGTGGTGGATCGCAACCACCCTATGGTGGCGGAGGAACTCCGCCACCTTCTCGTGGATACACCCCTCCGTCTTCACCGCCTCATGGCCATCATACCCCTCCGTCCCCACCGTCTCACGGCCATCACACACCTCCATCTCATGGGCATAACAATCCTCCACCCTCCTACGGTAGCTCTCCACCTCCATCCACCGGTGGTCAACCACCCTCTCATGGCCATGCGCCTCCTAGTAGAGGACACCATCATCATCACGCGCCACCTAGAGGTTATACCCCTCCTCCGCCAACTTATTCGCCACCCCCGCCTTCACCAACATACTCACCACCACCACCACCTCTATACTCTCCACCACCGCCTTCACCAACATATTCTCCTCCGCCGCCACCAACATACTCACCGCCACCGCCTTCACCAACGTATTCTCCACCGCCGCCGCCTTCACAAGCATATTCGCCACCAATTGTTTATACCCCACCCACTTACGGGCAGACACCACCATCGTACGGACAGTCACCGCCGCCGGCCCCATATTCGACCGCCACAAAGTCTCACAACGACGACGCCACCGGGAAGCTCACAACCTCTGCTAGCATTCGCAGTTAAAGTGGATATAAATTAAATAAGACATATATACCCCACAAGTATTAATTACTCTCATCTCCTCCGATCATAATAAAGGCCAGCATGCATGCAATGCAGTAGCAGTCAGCACTGTGGAATAAATGCCATATATAATAATTATTACGGCGAACTTTATAATTGTATTACAAATTGTATGGTTCTATTTAAAAAAAACATATTGTATGTAGAGTTGATGACATACGTATTATAAAGTTGTGATATTCGAATATTCGATCGTAGTTAAGGTTTTAATTTGATGTGGGGATTTAGAGGTGGTGTTTGGGGACGTAACTTCGCTGTCCGTCATGGTGATTGGGGGAGGATGCCGGCGGAAGGAGGATGCCGAGAGATAGAGAGACCGACGGCTGTGTGAGGGTGAGCCGAGAGGGAGGCCGGCACAGGTAGGGGAAGAGAATTTAGGGTTAAGGTTTATGAGGCTCCGATACCATGTGGAAAGAATATTTTCATTAATGATTTGTGATCAATTATATGTGAATATATACCAGGAGTCTCAATCCTAATTATGGTAGGAGAGACATAGTAGGAAGGTGATACAATTATGGTAACAATATAATACAATGATATTAAATATATAAATAATATATTTAACAATAGCAATTCTCCTATACTCTAAGGGGCTTTTTGGCAACTTCTGAATAGGTATGTGCTGAACCAGTAAGAGGTCTTAACAATTAAGTGCTGAACCAGTAAGAGGTGTGAACCATTAAGAGCTAGTATATTGCTTAACTATTCAGAGGCAAATGTCTGATCAATTCAGATAATAGGTCTTAACCATTCAGACTCTGTATAATACTTAACCATTCAGAGGCAAATGTCTGAACCATTCAGACATCTACTCACGAAACAAACAGTCTGAACCATTAAGTGCTGAACCTTCAGACATCTGAACCATTAAGAGGCTGAAACAAACAGCCCCTAAGTTCCTCACATGTTTTCATTATGACTTTTTTGTAATTTTTAAGAGTAATGGAAAAAGATTAAAACTTAACAAAACATTCTTAACAAAATTTTGACTCCAAAGTCAAAATCAACTTGTGGGGTGCAATTGAAGGGGGTGGGGGGTGTGTTCGGGTCGGGTTGGGGCGGGGCGGGGGGTTTACTTGGAGTAGAAACCGTCAATTTTTCGAACGGGGCACCGGAGCGCCCCCGGGTCATCCACCAAGGTGATTATAGCTCCCTCCGTTTGGAAAAACACTTCCCATTTGCATTTGGGGCAAAAAATAAGGAAGTGTTAAATTATAGTTGATTTCCAATTTTGCCCCTAATGTGATGAGTAAAAGTAAGATGTGATGGATAGATTATTAGAGAAAAAGTATGATGTGATAGGTAGGGTATGAAAAAGTAAGGGTAAAAGTGGTTTTTTAAAAGAAAAGGGAAGTGTTTTGTTGGAAGTAGAAAAAATGAAAGAGGAAGTGTTTTTGAGAACGGAGGGAGTATTATTTTTTTATATATTACGGTGTATATTTTATAGTACCTTCACCACTGAGTATTTGTTTAGTTTTGAACTTTTGGTGTTCATCATTTGTAGGGGAAAATGCTAAAATATGAGCAAAATATTTAAAATTTATCAAAACATGAGTTCAATATTTTTCTATTCGAAATATGGGTTAAAACACATTTATATTATATTATTAATCATGACCATATACATTATCAAAAAAATATAGTAAAATATTCATATACAGTAACACATTACCACAATGTAAATTTCTATTTAGAGAATAAAAATATGAAACTTTTATATATTTTACTTTTTTTAGGTGATTTTTCATTTTTAAGTTTTAACCCCCAATTAAATATAGTATATGTACTTTTATATGAAATATTAAATAAATAAAATAATATTTTGGCTTCACTTATCTTCCGATCCGATCAATAAAATATTCGATCAAGTTTAAGTATTTTTGGATCCGGGTCTCCGGTAAAAAATAGATGGGTCGGGTCAATTTTTATTAATTAGTTCTAGTGGTAACATGGGCCCATAGCCTGCTCCGTCTATTAAAAAATGGACTGTTACATAAAAAGGGTCTCTTAATGGGACATTGGGCCGGGTTGGATTTCTGTGGGAGAGTGTGCGAGGAGATGAAAAAAGGGACGCCGTTGCCGGGGATCGAACCCGGGTCACCCGCGTGACAGGCGGGAATACTTACCACTATACTACAACGACTTCTTGTTCGTTCACTCGGTTTAAAAAGTTATACTCCCTCCGTTCCATAAAACCCTTCCTCTTTCGTTTTTTTGAATTCCCTAAAACACTTCCACTTTCTATTAAAAAACCACTTTTACCCCTTACTTTTTCATACCCTACCTATCACATCATACTTTTTCACTAATAACCAAACTATCACATATTACTTTTACCCATCACATCAGGGGCAAAATTGGAAAGTCAACTAAAATTACACTTTTCTTATTTTTGCCAAAAGTCAAAAGTGGAAGAGTTTAAAGGAACGGAGGGAGTATATCTTTGTTTGTTCGAAGCAGATCTGCTGAGAGGGGACCGTACGTGCGAAAGAGCACACGAGTGATGCTTTCTTTCGACACAGAGCGTGAGTTCAAATTTTTAATCTCTAGTTTATCTTTAGTTTCTTTAAATTTTTTCAATTTCTTTTAATTTCTCCAGTTTTTTTATTTCTTCCAGTTTTCTTATAATATTTCTAGTTTCTTCCATTTTTTAATTTTTTTCTAGTTTTCTACCTGATTAGTCTTATTTTCTTCAATGTTTTTACTCCTAAATAATGACTCTAAAAATAATATATTTTTCATGTATTATTATTATTATAACTATAGTTTATAAATCATTTCAGTTTTGCTATTTTTTTTATTTTTCCATGTCACTATTTGTGATTCACAATCAATATTATTTTTGTTTCTATTTTTATTATATATAAATAATACGAAGAGATACAAATTTACAAGAGAAATTTTATTGAAATTTGTATATTTTCTTTAACCTATAACTTTTTTCTTTTAATTTTCTCACCATCCAAACGAAACCTAAGGCACCTATAATGAGAAAAAGCACGACTTGTGAATCATAGCCTCCATCCTTAAATCCTTACACAAGCTAGGTACACGTTTAAAAGAAGAATTACTATCATGAGAAAAATACAAATTGAACAATACGGGCCATTTTAAGCTGTGGTCTTTAGTAGACCTGGCAAATCGGTCGGTCAGGTCGGGTTCGGGTTCGGTCACTTCAAGTTCGGGTTATTTCGGGTTCGGGTCAATTCGGATTCGGGTTGAGAACTGTATGTTCATGACCTAGTATCGTCGGGTTCGGGTCGACCCAACGGGTTATAACTTTGATTTTTAAAATTTCTAAATTCACATTACCACTTACATTTTCTATTAAATAAATTTAAAATATCAAAAAAATGTATTAAATCTATAAAATTTATTTATTTTAAACTCTGAAGTAATTTTTTAGATATATAAATCAATATAAAGAATTTAAAAATGCTTAAGTTTTGGAAAAAAGTAAGATAATTATGCAATATCATTAAAATTCTCTATGCAAATATAAATTTATACACTAAAAACGAGTAGTAAAGTGTATGATTTTGAAAAATTCTTACTTTAGCGGGTCGATCAGGTCGGGTTCAGGTTCGGTCGGGTTTGACCCATTTTTAGCGGGTCATTTCGGGTTCGGTCAACTTCGGGTTCGGTCATCAAAACCATTGTTCAAAACCCAGTGTTTTCAGGTCGGGTTTCGGGTCAAAAACAGGTCGGGTCATTTTTTGCCAGGTCTAGTCTTTAGTCTTTACTACGTCCATTGTCGCCATATACTCCATCCGTCCACAAATAAACTTTACACGTTTAGTCGATAAATTAATCAACAAGTCGTTGTAGTATAGTGGTAAGTATTCCCGCCTGTCACGCGGGTGACCCGGGCTCGATGCCCAGCAACGGCGTTTTTTTTCATTCTTTGCTCCGGGTTCGATCCCCGGCAACGGCATTTTTTTCATTCTNATAGGTTTGACGGAGATCCTTTTATTTACCCGAGCATTTTTTTTTGCAACTAAACTCATAAAAACATGTGTACTAAATTAAAAAAGAAACTCATAAACTTGTTCTCTGATTTGGATTTACTCGACCACGCCCACCAGGTGTTTGATTTCCCAGGCCAACCATAAAACTCGTGGAATGCTATCTATTTGGAACTTTCATTTTGGCTGGGAAAAGGAGAAGAGGTTTTTCAGCTTGTAGAAGGGAAGACTCCACATAGCTTGTGAAGGAAAAAGTCGGGCTTTGGCTATAGCTGGATTGAGCTCAATTTGGTTGACGAATTTGCCCCCCAAAATGGAGCAGGTTCGTCCGCTAGTCGGTTAAAGGATGAAAGACAACAGCTATACGAAAGAACAATTTCCGATATTACATGTCATGTGTCAAAAGAAAACCACATCCAATGACCACGTTAAACAAGACAACTTTTAATCTAATACATATGTGAAAGTGTGAAACACATTCTTTGAGCCAATAAAGTAAGGAAAAAAAACAATATCGACAAATTTTAATCTTTGATCTCATGCTCTCAGCAAAACCTCTGGCCCGTCTTGCTTCATCTTTAAAAGACTGCCCTCAATGTTGCGTAACACAGGCTTGTAGCTATAAAGAGAAAAAAAAAGAATGTGGATAAGAAGAGGTTTCATACAGGTGATATGCATGCATATGAAGGCTAAGAATGTAATTTCAGCAGCAAAGACGGAAAAGAAAAGATGATAGGGTTAGAGGCCTACATGCGGGCTAGACCATTGTATGCTTGCGTGGCTTGCTGGAGTTGTACCGATAGTTTTAGAACTTGTGCAGACAATGCTTCTGCTCTGCTCTGTTCTTTCACAAGTTGATCCTGAAGAAATATAGCCCATTCAGAAGGCGGTCACTTATACATACCATCACAATTTGTAAGAACACAATACACAATACAAAAGTCCGATATGGTAAGAGTCCACCATTTGAGCCCGGGATGTTCTAGGGAAAGAAAAACATAGAGGAAGATCTGAAGGAAATGAGATGCTATGAGAAATAAAAGATTGGGTAAATCTAAAAATACATTTATTTTGGGTATTTGTTGATCCTCATTGTATTTATATCCATTACGCGTATACAAAGACTACATAGTTTACTTATATGTAAAAACATGGTTGTCAGATTTTACTGGGTTTGTATGTGCGAAAATATATTTAAAATAATCATATTTCATTTTCCAAGGTAAAGCCAAAGATAAAAAAAAATATGGGGTTACTCTCTTCCAGGCATTGTCTAAGATCTAAAACATACCCTAGCATTTCCCATGACCCAAGCATACCCTAAGTTCATAATAGAAAAACTCAAGTGCTAAAATTTGATCTCATGATTCTCATCACCATGAGGTGTTTAACTATTGCCACCATCAAACTCTTGGGGAAAAAGAATAATTCCCCTATTTAGGATAATATACGCTAGCTATTCAAAGCAAAGAGAAAAATCGGGATCTTCTTAGATGGAACTCAGCCGTTCACGTATTTTTCGGGAGAAAAGTGACCCGAGGCTGGGATCAGAGAAAAATAAATAGCAACACAAGATCGCACAACATTTTTAATGTGGTTTGATTTCTCAATAAACCTACATCCACAACAACTAACTTTTTCTTTATTTGGAACACATTTACAACTACAATTTTGAACCTACAAATTGTAAAACCCTCTCACAAGTTGTCTAGAACTCCCAACTAATTCTAAAACACACACACACTAGTAAATTTGGAGCACTCTCTCAACAAAATTACTCTAACTAAAACTGGTGGAGCCTACTCCTTCAACACACACAACTTTAGTCTCTCTCTAGAGGCTTGAAGAACCAAGGCCTCTCCCTCACAGGGGAGCTCTCCCATAGCTCACCACCATAAATTCCCAAAGGAGCTCATCTCCTTCTAAAAGCAAGCTTCCACCGCCATTTCAAGAAGCAAAGAAAGAATTTGCTTTCTTTAAGTTTCTCCGGATGCTTTCTTTCTCGCCATATGTAGTCTTATCTCTTTAACTTTTTTTCTTTCCTTAGTTCTTAAGGTTGGAAATAATGCATGTGGGCCCTCCATTTTATATGCTAAGAATGCCTCTACTTTGCTCTCTATCACATCTGATCCTATAGGGTGTTTTGTTAGTATAAATCTTTAAAAATGAATTTTATACTCATAAAAACAGCACATTATAATCCCAACCCCGTTGGGGTTGGGGTCAAGATGTAAGTAACTTACCCCTGCAAAAAAGAAATAGGCTCTTTTCATTATGCCCTTGATGCATTGTTGCATTTACTACCCAAAACTTCATGGAAAGTAAGAAAGAAAGTATAAAGTTACTAGATGTGCCTCTTTTAACTCCACTTGCAATGGACAAAAAAAATGAATATTATTCCCTCAGTTCCAAATTTGTCATGTTTAGTTTATTGCGCACAGGACTAATAAAATGAAAACTGTGGTTGAGAATCATGCAAAAGAGTGTGTGAACAACATAATAATTTCTATGAATAAAACATGCACAATAAATTGAGATAGAACAAAATTTAAAACATATGCAACAAGCCATCAAATTGAGAAGAAAGGAGAATAAAATGAATATTTTGGTACTTATGTTACTTTGCACCCAAAATTTATTTCACTTTAGCACTCCATAGCACCTCTAAGTGAGGAGCATAGGTGAGCTTTGCGAAAACATGGGTGTAAAGTCAAATTTGGCATTTGCACCCATGTTAATACTAATATTTGACTTTGCACCTCGCTCTAAGGTGCTCTGGGTGCAAAGAGAATAAAACATGAAGTGCTAAGTCAAATATTGAGTTAAGCATGTTATCCAAAAACCAATTTTCCTTGGAAAAAAAACAAGGACAGACAAGTTGACATGTGAATGCAAGATTAATGCAAATGCATATCAATATGTAAAGACCACAAGATTAAGGAATGAATTGAAAAAGGAATTGAAACTCCATGACAAACCTGGAGGGATACAATATCAGCTTCATAACTTGGGGCTTGAGTGCCATTTTCCACTTCTTTATTGGATCCAAACAACCCTCTATGCATTAACTTGTCATTTGTATTTCCTATTCCTGCTTGTTCATTTCTTATTTTGTCTAACAAGACTCGTAGCTCCTCATTTTGTTTCAAACATTCTTTTACCTGAATGGTGTAAACAAGACTTATTTTTTGGACACCAACTTGAAAGAGTGGATCTGAAATCACTCTCACCTTACAGACAAATAATCAAACAAAATCTCGTATATCCCATTCAAGAGTAGGGTCTAGGAGGCAAGATGTGCGCAAATCTTACTTCTACTCCAAGGAGTAGAGAGCCTGAATTCACCGTCACCTCAAGCCTAGAAAATATGCTATGCATGTTATGAACTTTCTTTTTGGCAATGCAACAATCAAGTGAGTCAACACATCTTAAATGTCATTGCCCGTGAACACTTCATTTCTTGACAGATTTTTCCCTTCCCCAGAAATACTTGGAGTAACAAAATAATTAACCCATTGCTATTTTGTTTATGTAACCTGGTGTGTATATTGGTTTTTCCTTGCCTGGATACTTAATAAAAAGTCACAAACCCGCACTTCTCTCTTGTGTTAGCATTCAAAAATAGAACTTCGTAGAAACAATTGCTACTTGAGCAAATGCTCATTAAACTAAAAGTCGACTTAAAGAATGTTTTTTCTTAAGCCAAAATGACAAGAGCATGTACTTTATGCTGTTGCAATAGGTTTTGTTTGGATACATGAAAAGGAATTCATGGGTGATTGGTGTGAAACAAGGTCAGTCCAATTGTTACTGTGGATACCCTTGGAACAGTTGGAAGCAATGTCAACAACAACAAACCCAGTAAAATCGAAAAGTGGGGTGTGGAGAGGTGTGTGTACACAAACCGCATCCCTACTTGGAAAGTAGAGGCCGTTTCTTGGAAGCAATGACCATTGTCGATTTGTCTCCATAAAAAACTACCTTCCAAACTTAAAATTCAGTGTGCAATGTTTCTATGACTATATGAGCCTCAAGACTCAAACTCTACAATAAAAACAGATTGAGATTCAAACGTACCTTATTTTCCCACTGCACTACCATTCCCATCACTTCCTCATTCGCAGATGAGAGATTAGAATTTTCTTCAAACAGTCTCTCTATTTCTGAGGACTGAGAATCGATCTGTGAAACAAGAGCAGAAGGGAGCTAATTACTGCTACATATTATATTTAATATGGTTTAAGCATATAAAAAGATAATAGCCTAGAATATGTTACCTCCATCAGCAGTTTCTGCCTGCTGCTTTCCAATCTTTCAATGGCTACAGCCATTTCATGCAATTGCTTCTCAAGTTTCTCCTTTTCCTTCTAAGAAAATAGCAAACATTTAACTCAAAAGGGAAAAAAATTTATTTCATTTGCACAAAGAATAAATAATCTGAATTTGAAGTTGTAATCACAAGAGACATGGCTATGAGTCAGGCCGAGAAATCACAGTCATATTTACAAGAGTTACTGGCTCACATTCTAAGAATAAATACCAGGCACCAAGCCCTTGCGTGTATGTGAAAGATACACAAGAGTACTACATGTGAAGCACTAGATAGCCAACTCTGTCAGGGGAAGGAAATATCTACCGGAATTTTAGGGGTTGATTTTAGGATCTTTGATTGAAATTAGGGATGGCAACGGGTCGGGTTCGGGTCGGATAGTACTATACCCGAACCCGACCCGACTTTTAAAACCGAAACCCGAACCCGACTCGAAACCCGACTTTTTAAACAAAAAACCCGACCCGACCCGAACCCGACATTCCAACCCAAAACCCGAACCCGACCCGAACCCGACTTTTAACCAATAATCAATTCAATGTACCCCAATAATTTTAAAAAGATTAAATCTAATTTTTTGTGTCTCATTTTTTTATTAAGGAATTATAAAAATGATTATAAATGGCATACTTGATATAATAGCACTTTGTCAAGAGATTATACGGAGTGCTCATTATATCTATAGATAGGCTTTTATGTTATAAAATATTCGGGTTTGAGTCGGGTCGGGTGCGGGTTCGGGTCGGGTCGGGTAAAATAATAAACCCACACCCGACCCGATGTCGGGTTCGGGTAAAAAAATTCGGGTCGGGTTCGGATTATTTTATTCTCGGTTCGGGTTTGGATATTTTAGTGGTCGGTCGGGTCAGTTAAGCTCGGGTTCGGGTTGAATTGCCATCCCTAATTGAAACCAAGACTTTTTTTCTTATTAGAGAAAAAAGAATAAAATTAAATTGACTATATTCTTAAACGAAAACAAAAGATAGGACAAGATTCTCGAGAGAGAACTCTCCAAGTTCCCTGAAGAAATTCATGAGTAAGGGTAAAACTTGCTCCTAAAGTCTGCATAGTTCTTCTAAAGACACTCCTCAAAGGGAAGCATGTTCCACAAAGTGTCCCGCTTAGCAAAGGTCCGAGGAAGAGTCCCATCATAACTCCATAAGAATGCATGAAGGCAAACCCTACACTTCCTTTTAGAAAGAGCCTGCTTCCAAGAGTCAATCTTGTGACCTCAAGGAAACACAGAAACAAGTCAATCAGTGCGGCACCTCAACCGATGCGCTAAGGACACTTTTCTATTTGCATTAAGCTATTTAATTATACTGTCTATGGTAACAATGACTAAAAGAAGCAAATGTCATGATTTAAATAAAGTAGAAATATTTTAGTCTTCAATCAAAGATCCTAACCCTATCCCTAATATTCAGCTAGTACTTTGTTTTTTGGTTTATTCATTCACTAGTAAGTTTATTCTCTAGTTCTTCACATCCAGTACTCTTGTGTTTCTATCACTATGCAAAAAAAAGCATGCAACCCCTAATCAAACTAGTAAAGCTAGTTCTCATGAGAAGACAAATTATAAAATTTCCTTACCATACATTCTGTTCAAGTGATCTATGTACATGTTGCAAATAATTACTCCTGATTCTTTATAGCTACCATGTAAAGAAAGAACAATGGAGGAACTATCATTGACTTCGTGACTTTTGCAATCAAAACTCAAAAGCAATCGGAACTTTTTTAAAGTTTTTTTCCTCGCTCAAATATACTCAACAGCACAAGGCATTTACAATACATTCTGAATTCACGCTTACGGGCAATTACAGTGTGAAAGCATTATTAATAATCAAAGAGGTCATTAATTACCACTGAGAATGTGTCACCAGAAGCCTTTTGAGAGATATCTTCTGCAGTCATGAGATCGAGAATGTTATTAGTCCATGTGTACAACCCCCAAAAATTAGTGCTCTCGAAATCTCACTGCTACTACAACTCCGTAAATGATGATGATGATGATGATACTCGTAATAAACATTCACCAATACGTGAGCACGCGACATATTAATAAAATTGATGTTACTTTCATTCTGCATTCAAATTGTGATTTCTAAAAGCTGAAATATGGTTCAAGAAAGGTTCCAGATCAAATGCGTTTTAATACCTGACACCTTTTTGGAAAGAGATGAAAGCTTCTCTTCTAAGTCTTGCTTTTGTGAAGTAAGGGTAGATGTCCGAGTCAGCTCCTCAGCTAGCCGTTGTTGCTCTTTTTCTCTCAACATAGACTCTTGCTGTTACCAACAAATTAGTAAAACTAAAGTTTTGTTAAGATAAAATATAAAAGGTTTCCAGCACTGAATCTGACCTCAAGAAGAGATCTTAAGTTGGCAAGCTCCTTTTCAACAGTTTGCATGTGATCAGGTGAAAAGCCCACTGAGGTGGTGCTACTAGGTGGACCACTCATAGATTGTTGCTGTAACGAGTTTAATTCGGCTCGGAGAGCTGCTGCATCCTCCTCAGCCTAATGCAACAAATTACGAAGCAATCATGTGAACATGGAATTAACTATTTTCAGGTCTGACATCTCGTTTTGCAGCATTACTAAAGAACTACTAGCATACCCGATACTGCTCTTCTTCTGCCTCCTTTAACTGTTTCTTAAGAGTACGAATCTGCGCTGATAGATCCTCCTATACCAACAAACTAGAAACTGAATTCATTGGAGAGAGTAAACTTCAACAGAGTTAGGACTTCAAGGAAATAAGGAGATGATATGAACCCTTGAAACCACCGCGGCATCTTTTTCCATTGCCACATCCCTGAGTGCTTTCCGCAATGATGGTACAGTATTTTGCTCCTGAAAAATATACAAACCACTTGGCTTTCAAATTGACTAAACTGAAAATACATAACAGGAATGACTTGCACTTACCAAATCATTGAGACGCTTCTGGAATGTGTCATTCTCAGCTTCTATTGTCCAAAGCTGATCAATAAGGTTTTTTTATGGAAAAAAACTTTGTGATTATGACCTCTAAAGTACAAGAAATAAACATAAAATGCACATAGCTCTATCGCGATTAAGTTGAAGCTAACTACAGAAAAATAAGAAATAAAACATGTTCACCATGCACTTGTCATACCTTTGAGATCAGAGTTTTGTTTTCTTCTTCGAGATCAGCATTCTTCTTTTGCATCTGCTGTAATTGAGAAACCAAGCCTGCAATGTCATTCTGCATGCACAGAATATTTTTATAAATAAAAAACAAAACAAAACCGACTAGTAAAGAAAAAAACATGAAATTATTCAGCACTGCTTGCTAATTAGGGAGCCTCGTTGCTTAACTGCAAGATCCTGAATCTCTGAGATTCAATTTAAAGATGACACATCGTACAAACTACAGATTATGCCATAAATTTAATATTTTAAAAACATGTCAACAATCAATGAGGAACTTTTTAACCACCTGATTGCTCACGTCCCAAAAAATACTTCCCATTTGACCTCTAATGTCTTCAAACTTTGACCATTAATAATTTAATATCTAAATTTATACTCCATACATAAATAAATTTCTAAACATAACTATAAGGCTCCGTTTGACACACGGAATTCAAACTATGAAATTGGAATTGAGAACCTCAATTCCAATTCTAGCGTTTGGTAGCACAAAAATTATGTGAATTTTGAATTGGTAGTGCAAAAAATGAATTGGAATTGGTGAATTCAATTCTATGGAATTGAATCTCATGGAATTATAATTCCAATTCAATTTCAATTCCATCAATTTCGTGTACCAAACGGACCCTAAATATATAATATTTTGAACCCACAATTCAAAATTCAAACTAATCTCAAGATATTATCTTCTGCGTTTATGGCAAGAGGTCCTAAACTAATCAAACTGGAAGTTTTTTTGGGACGGAGGGAGTAACATTTGCTGGGCGGCAGGAATACATAAAGCCATTAGACATCTAAAAAGAATCTCAACTGAGTTTCATACCTCCGCGAGCCGATTTCCACTCTCTGATCTTCTTATTTGGGGAACATCTGCGCCAAAAGGGTTAAAACGTAAGAAACTTTAACACAATTTAGCCAAAACACGAAAGGATTACCATTAGAGCTAGCAACAGCAATGGTCAGATCAGGTCCAGAAGACGCTTTGATCATTCTCTCTGCGGCTCTCTTCTGACGAATTTCCTCAAGCTGATTTGTGCATTGAACACCGTTCGGCAAAGGGGAAAAAAAGCGCAATCAATGAAACATATAAATCGACGGATGAGAAATTCGAATTCAATGATTTCAAAAAAACGGAGATCCTCACCGTCCGTCGACCCAGCGATGCATGACGAGAGTCCATTGACAACCGAGAATTTTTCTTCAGAAGATTCGGAGTTCCCCGGAAAATGAGAGAGAAATGTGCTAGATTTTACAGTTTTGAGTTTTCGGTTAGCTCAGGAATGGGTACCGGGCGCGAACCAAATTTTGGGACGAGACTCGGCCGGCCGGGTTCTGGCAGCTAACTTAAGAATTTCAGCCTTTCAGGTTTACATTTTGAATAAATTACCACATATTAGATTATATTCCAAAATATACTTCAAATGTTTATATTCATATTTTGTATTAATGTGAGTTTGAAAATGATGTCTTACCTTGATACAAAATATTAGTACAATATTTTTGCGATCGTACTACTCCCTTCGTCCTATAATGATCTTTCCGGTTCACAAAACGAAAAAAAATCCCAAGTTTTTTCAATCTATTTTATTTAAATATTGGTATAGAAATAAAAAATAGAACATACATATTTAAAAACTACATCAAAAATTCAACAAAACAAGTGGTGACAAGAATATTTTATTTTATCATATAGGCCATGAAAAAACACAAATAAATATAAATTCCCGTGAAGTTGAAATAGTGCTCTGGGAAGATCATTATAGGACGGAGGGAGTAATATTTTATATCTATATGAGTCATCAAAATATAATTAGAAATTTGGGTTATTATATTTTTGTAATATTGTTTTTTATATTTTTTAATTTAATTTTTAAATACGTAAATTTTATTTTTTATATTTATATCAATCTTCAAATAAAATAAAAACAATTTAAAATTTTATTTTAATTTATATAAAGTAAAATTTATTTAAGAAGAGAAAATAGTTTTGAGAACTTAAAACTCCATATTGAAGGAGACCCACATATAGAGAAAGACGTCAATTTGGGGTGGGTGTACCGTGTACGGTTTACACCTCATATAGTCCGGCCACGAGAGCGCAGATTCCCTTGACAGTCTGTCCCGTGTCTCCTCACCATCCATTGTCTTCTGCTTCCGGTGAATCAATTATCGCCGGTCGCCATGACTCCGATCATCGAATCTGCTTGGTCGGTAAGTTTTCGACGTTCCGTCGCCGGATGGAATTCTCTCTGTCCGTTTAATCGTCATTCTCTAACTCGATGCGCCGCATTGTTTGTATCGCCCACTATGTGCCGCTCCGCTTTTATGCTTTTGATCGTTATCCTCTAATGGAACATTCTATAATTTTTGTTTTCCAGACGAACAATTTGTAGATTTAACCACTGTTTGATTTTTGATGCAAATGCACGATCATGTGTGTGGCTGACTTTTAGACACGTTACCTGTTTTTCATCTTTATTCGGTTTTTGTTTTTAAAGCTAAAAAGCCACGTCGGGAATCACATTGAGTAAAACATTTTCTATTGATGTGCTTTTGAGGGGAGATGCCCAGTTTGTCCGTCGTCAATCTGGTTATGCGATTCATCAGTTATGTTGTGATGTCAAGTACTCGAGTGATAATGTGATTGTTCAACATTTGCATGTTTAGATTTAGTTTATTTCTTTGGTCTTACTGGGCTCTTCTTCAAAATGCCGCGATTGAATACTGCAGAAGTAAAACGAAACAGAGAGATGATTAAATGTCCCGGGGTTAGCTCAAAGTTTTTTTATTAGATTGAAATCTAGTGGGATATTCATCATCAGAATAAGGTTTAGCCCCCTTTTTGGGTTTGGTGTAAATTTCCAGAGTTAATAATCATTAGTATATTTCTAAGTGAGCACTAATTTAACGACGGATGGAGTATTAGATTTTCATGTCTTGGACTATTTACGGTAAGTTTAAGGGGAGGCAGGTAAATAAAGGCAACTAGAAGTAGGTAGTATGACATAGATCCAACAATAACCAACCCATTAGAATCTCGCGGATGGGGTCTTGGATGGGTATGGCTTAAGTTCTGGGAAACGGCCACCAATGGCCATCATGACCACATACGCAAATGCAAAAATGATAGGGCACAACTTTTGTACCACAACGAATCGCTACCTCACTCACAGGGGGGTATGGGTCCCACACCCATTTCAGTGAAGTTGTGAATTGTGATTAGTTGTGGCACAAAGGTTGTGCCTCTCTCATTACTCATCTAATAAGGTAGCCTACAAATGTATTTCAAAAGGCACATACATGGTTAAGGTGCCATGTGGGTTCTATTATGTTTAAATTTTTTATATAGACAAAGTGATATTATTTTGTCCTTGAGTTAAGGTTTTTAGTTCATGTACAAAATGACAACATTTTGGCTGTGATAATTTGAGCAATTAAAACTCAACGGAAACACTGTCCCGCCATTCAATCGAACGATCTTTCTTCCTCTGTGCGAAGAACAGAAAATTGATTGCCAAGACTCTCTATAGTCCATGTTCATCTCCAGATTAGTAATCTCTTACTTTTTGTCCCATTCCAAATCTGCACTGTATGTTCAACTCTAGATCAATCAATCAAGTTTAAGGGCTTTTTAAAATATTCTTCATTGAAACAACATAATTTTGATTTTATTTTGGTTTTCTAGTTTTCCATGAGTCTGCATTCGAAAACAACTATGATGTGATATCAAATTCTATTACTATGAAATGGGAAAACATACAATACGTGCTAGACGAGTATGCATTATTTTAATCATGTCAAATAGATTCTAGTATTGGTGGTATTTGCCGGAAAGTCTATGCTTTGTGTGGCATACCCTTTGGCAGTAATTGCTTCTCTACTTTCATGTAAAATTGTAAAGGTAAGGTTTGCATGCACACACCCTCCCTAGACCCTACCTTCCTGGGATTACACTGGGTTGTTGTGCCCTTTGGCAATAATTATAATACAGATTGCATACATCAATTTAAGTTATAACTCAAATATATGCACACATCATGTTTGTATTAAATTTTTTATTTATACTTTTTTCATTTTTAAAGTTAAATAATTTTAAAATTTATTTATATAAATGTTAGTATAAAATTACTATGCACTAAAACAACAATAAAAATAGAACTTCTTTATATAAATGAATTCTTAAAACTATAATAAAACTTTAATTTATTTAAATGAATGAATTTTCAAAACTATATGCCAATGAAGAATTATTGATCAAGAATTTTTTTTATTGTAAACTATTTTCACACAAAGTCAATTTAAATGTCATTAGCTAGCAACAAACTACATATTTTATAACCATTTTTATAAACTAATATAGATTGTGGGTGGGTGGGTGAGCATCTAATAATATCATCCTGTTTAAAAGCTAAGACGATATGTTATTGGCTACCAAAAAAAATTCATGTTTTGTCCTTTTTAAAACTGGCTTATATTTTTCTTTTGATGAACGGTTTGTGTTTGTGGTTCATAATTTTTCGCTCTCTACATAAATTTTAACCACACAGTTTCTGCTTCTCAATAAGTGTGTGAGGTGAAACAAATAACCTTATTTTGAGACGGAGGAAGTAATTACCAAACAAGGCAATTTTGTAATAGCTCATCTAATCACCACATTGTATAATTGTACTAACAGTTATCTGATGCCCATTCACTGGGTTTTAAATTGTTGCAGTATCTTATCACTCATTTTAGTGACTTCCAACTGGCTTGCCTTGGGAGTTTTTTCCTTCATGAAAGTGTCTTCTTCTTGTCTGGGCTTCCCTTTATATTATTCGAAAGGGCTGGATGGTTGAGCAAGTACAAGATTCAGGTATGAAAAGGTGGTGGTTTAAATGGATAAGAGGTACTCCACATTTACCAATGATTTAGTTTTTTCTTATGATTAGTTTTGAGTTTTGAGGCTAGAAGTGGCAAATGAAAATGTTAAAATAGTTTCATGAAAAATGGATGGCTTTGCATCATGCTCAAATCAATTGTGAGTTTAGTTGGACATGTCAAACAATGATTTAAATGGGTAGGTCAAAATGACGAGTGCCGATCAAACCCTTGTGAACGGCTTTGAAAATTTTAATAAAAAAAACTGTAAAGTCCCCTTAACTCACTCAAAATCAAAACCTCAATTTTGACACAAAAGGATGTACAAATTTATCCTCAAAGTTAGCACGTTTCCAATACTAGCTGAAATCATGGTCTTAGGAGAACAGTCAAATACCAAAGTAGAAAACAATTTTGTTATTTGAGATCTGGGGTAACCTCACATGAGTAGTTAGTCATTGATATTTCAGATTTGCACATAGAATTCTTCTGTAATATTTATTTGTAAATGTGGGAATTGAGAATTGCTCCGATTTCCATATATTTTTGTAGTAGGCAGTGACACGAGAATGGCTTTCTCGTGTTCTTAGCATTAGTACGTGATGATCTAAAGCGGCATTCATTAAATTTTCAAATCTTTACGTCGAGCACGGCTTCCTCAGAAGTTCACATTATTTTATTAGAAAATCACCATCCTTCTAGATTTTCCGCTTAAAAATGGATATTTCTGTCATTTGCAGATATACTGAAACATACATTGTCTGAGGTGTACCTTTTTAGATTCTAGATTTTCCTATTAGTAAAACGGATACTTTTAACCGAAAGGGGTGGTCTAGTAGAAAAGTTTTTTAGATTTGTCTCTTAGCAGAGACATTTCTATCATTGGCAAAAGTATTAGACATAAAAGTTTAAGATCATCTTGCCTATATTTGTCAACACTGTTCTTCATGTTTTATTTGGTGCAGACAAAGAATAACACCCCAGCAGCTCAAGAGAAATGCATCACTCGTCTTGTTCTGTATCATTTTGGTGTCAATCTTCCAGTAATGATTTTATCATATCCTGTCTTTAGATACATGGGGATGCGAAGCAGCCTTCCGTTGCCATCCTGGTATTTTCAGGTTCTTTATATACTTGATCTAAGTAATATAAATCTGATATTTCCCTTTTTGTCGGATCGTAGAGTTATATCAGTCTACCAATAACTCCAATCTGAAACCCTCGCCACCCTCTCCCCCAATTTATACTTCTCTATTTTACACAAGCATGCATACAGTGATGTGTGTGCACGCGTGATGGTTTTTATTGTAGCAGACTTTGATGATTTTTTTCCCTGTGCAGGAAGGTGATTTTGACTCAAATAATATTCTACTTTATCCTGGAAGACTTTGTGTTCTATTGGGGACACAGAATTTTGCATACAAAATGGCTATACAAGCATGTCCACAGTGTCCATCATGAGTAAGTAAATAACATCAGTCTTTTTTTTATGCTCATCCTGTTCTGAAAAAACTGTCATTTATTAGTAAGATACATGGTTTTGTAAGTCATGAATGGTCAACTATTCCCCTACAATATGGTTTATTGTTCTTCAATTTCATTTCATAATGGTGTAGCCTTTTTAAAATTATAAGAATGCTTCAGAAATACATACTATGTATATATTAAGGGTCTGTTTGGAAAGGGGGAACTTTTTTATGGAAAATGACTCCTGGTCCTACAAAATGAGTTTTTTTCAGAACTCATTTTAACTTGAAAAAGGACTTTCTGGTGTTTGGCTACATTTCGACGTAAATCCTCAAAGTTAGAATGAAAAAGGGGCAGTGGGGAAGAGTTGAGGACGATGACTATGCAACAAACATCTGGAAGTCATGATTTGTTCTAAAATAGCTTTGGAAATTAACATACTTCAAATCCTCATGCCACTATTGAACGCAAATTGGAAGTGTGATTTGCCGCGTAGACTGAACGCAAATCCAGATGTTGATTTCCAATCAGTGCATGTTGATTTGCGATGGGGGTGATGGCAACTCTTGTGCATTGAGGATGGCGGCGACTGTGCATCGGGGACGGTGGCCTTGTGTGTCCAATGGGAAACAGAAGCGGAGCATAAGAGTGGGGGAAGGCAGCCTGGCTTGAAATTGACTTCCAAAAAAAATAGAAGTCAAATTCCAGATTTGAGGGTTCATTTTCCATTTGGCCACTTCTCATTTCCCATTGATCTTGCTCCCAAACGCCAGAGAATGAGGATAATGACTTCCATTACCTGACCATGAATATTTCTCTAAAATTAAAGCCAACTTTTGAAAATAGATCCTTTTTTTGGACCAAGAATTATTGAAACCCAACTCTTTTGTTAGAAGCTATAACATAGTGAGTAATTATTATTGTTCATGCTTT